GTCAACCTATTGAACTAAGCTGTGTTTGCCAGTAGTTGTTAATACAATAAGACTAATCATCACTGTTGCGATTTATACGTATATGGAACGAACTGGATCAGTTAACAATCAGTCAGATGTTTAGTTGACAACGAACAAGTCGGCTCGGTGTGATAACTCAATCGAAATTATGATTCATTTTCTACATGAATGCCTACAGTCAATACAATAACACAGATTATAATTTTACTTCAAATAACGATTAAACGATGATATATGGCATTATCAAGAGATTTGATCCTGATTATGATTTTTGCTGCGATTCTGATAAACTGTATTAGTAATGAAAATAAAATTTAATACTTAATGGCCTTCTTATGATTTACTTAGTGTAATGATCTTTCGTGCCGATGTTAAATAATGATCTCGAGTTAACACCATTAATTTAATATTAATGAAAAGTGAACACTTAACTTAAGAAATCGAACAATTTAACGCGAACATGGGTATCGTAATAGGGTACAGAACTCTTCTTTCATATGCTAGGGCACAGCATAGTAGAGGTTTCTCACATCACAGTAACAAATTATATATGCACAACACTTGAGTCTTCTTGATAGCCTCTTGCGATCTTCTATCCGGGTTGACTTCTCCCTACATGAACAAAATCGAAGTTACAATTAGTCGGGTAATTCCCTACCAGATATCTCACATAATATCAACACACCAAATAAATACAATATTGATAAATATCGACAGTTACACATACCTCAGCAGTTGTCTGAATTCACTAAACTAGTCCTTGCTTTGGTCCCACAACAAGTCAGCTCTGAATTCTTACACTGCTATACGGGATCGTCAACACCTCAGCTTATTCTACGTCCCACACATTAGTTACTATTATTCTTATTCTCCCTCTGTTTCCCAAAGTATACCTGAATATTCAGCTAAGATCCCTACACTTAGGCTTATAATGGTATAAGTTTTCCCACCCAATTTTGTAAGTTTGTTTTATCTGGTTACATGAATATAAAAATTTAGCTTTATTTGATTAAGATAGATTCATAAGTGAATGATTGAATTTACTCTGGCACTGGGAGCTTAGCTGCTGAAACAAAAACTAAATAAATAAAACCATGATCTTGAACGCACTTTCAAAAATTTCTTTTCGAAAAAATGGAAATAGTAAGGCAACACCAATTGACATGTCAATACAATGATGAGAAAAGACATACGTAAGTTGAAAGCGAGTTCTGTAGGCGCTATATATGTACAGGAAATGAAACTTTCACTTATGAACTTTCATTACGCGGCCAGAAGAGCGTGCTGTTCGCCTGTTACGTAACTTGACATCTCATTGCTTTTATCTGAATCATGTGATCAAGATGCAGCCTGCGGTGGTTACAAATTGAGCAAAATTACATCCGAGCGTTGATTGCACGAAATTGCGGTATCATTCCTAGGCCCTTTCAATACAGCTTCTAGGAATTTCATCTCACATATAATAGGCGGTGTTTATCATGTGTTTATATGCTCTATCATCGTGCCTCCTCTTGACGCATCACATTCATACAACATTTGGAGTCCTCCATCACCCAAAATACCTTACGTAGAACCGATATTTTTTTAAAAACATTCCATCGTTAAAGATACAATCAAAGATTCTATTTGCAAAAACGTATGCTCCTCCAAAATGCCTCAGTGCATCCGCTCACGAAATTTCTCCTATATAACGGATGAAACGGATGAAGAGGAAGAAACGGATGAAATCGTGAAGGATGGAAGCTCACAAGAATTGAGGCCGGTCATGGGATCGCGAGTAAGAGTTATCATGAAGGAAGTATGTATATATACGCGCAGGCTGTACAGTTGGTTGCACATATGAATGATTATTGACTCGTTACCTATTTTATTTAACAATAGTTTATTTAGGTACTTTTTTATTCATCTGTTATTATAATTAGAATTTTTTGTCAGCCTTCATCAGATTAGGTATTGTTTTGATCTTCAGAAAGCCTCAAATCTTTAATGTAAACGCACGAATTTCATATTTTGGTTTTTAATTTGAATTTCAGAATATAAACCCATTTATCTTAAGGTTCATTAAAAGCAGTGTACGGCTCAAGGAGTCATCCTACTTAAGACCCTCAGGATGACTGTTGGTTGATTGGATTTCCGCGATAAACTCCGGGAAAATTGTTTGGGCCTGGGTGGCTGGTGCAGCGACAAGTAATAGCAAAGTCTTAAAAAAATCTCTCTGGTGAAATTGACCGACATCCTGAAACAACAGTCATCCTGAAAAATATTTAATATAGGACTGTTATAAGGAGTAAGAAGCATCAGAAGCATGGATTTTTTCAGTATGCAGGTGCATAAAAAGAAAAACTCTTGAGCTTCTTTATAGTGCTCGTTAGGTAGCACCTGCGCGCTTGAGTGAATCCCAACTTCAGTCCTATACTTAAAACGGCGTCTGGACCGCAACAGGAGTTCCAGATGCCAACGGGCATTCCAAGTTTTTTTGCGAGTCTGTTCAGCGTGAATTTTGTTGCAAGTGTGATGTTGATCTTCCTACACCACGGGCATTAGACGATGCTATGGAAAATTCCGAGGAATCGCTGTTGTCTGTGTATAGGCAAGTTTGTAGTGTCCCAGAGTGTCCGACGATGGAGTGGCGTGCGTGCGCCACTATTTCGCTGGTAATCTGTTCGCTGAGCTGTTCAACAGTGCTTGAATGCTGTTGCAAGTTCTTCGTAAATGTGATAGATCGACGCTTGAAGGCTTCTAGCTTTTTTTTTGGTAAGATGATTGACTAGAAGTAATTCTTATCGCGCATGGTTTTTTAGTGACGAGACAACGTTCGAACCAACAAAACATTAAAATATTGGATACAGAAAATAATAAATGAAATTGTGCAACATGAAGGAGAATTTCGAAAATTTTATCTGGTCTTTGCGGTTGCAGGAGAAGGGAGCACGTTTCTGTTTTCTTAGCTGAGAACACTGTTAAAGGAAAAATACCTGGATCCTCCGGAGTATTATTTTTTCTATTGTTATTATTCTATCGGATTATTAATCCGTCTCGGAATTATTTTTATCGGAGACGGATTCGATCGACTGACTTTACCCACAGAACAATGCATCATCACACTGGCATCGCAGCTCGTAAATTTTCACCTCAAATAATTAGTGGCCGGGGAGGTAGGACAAAGGATGCTGCTCTATCATCGCTGGCCTCAATGTTCACCCGACCATACTGCATGTAATTTTTATTATTTAAATTTGATTTATGTGCTTTCAATGCAACAACAATTATACTCAGAACAAGCGCATGATAACAGCAGCTATTGGAGTGTATAATTCAGAACTTGCTTTTTAGAGAATGGGACGCACTTAACTGCCCTTCACATCAATTCCGTGCATCTGAAGATAAACGTCTTTATTTTGTAGACTTATGGTAAAAAACTTCTCGAGTCTCATTTAATGATGTACTTGTACATTTTATTGGTGTTTGAGCTCATGACATTGTTGTGGGAGAGCTTACAACAATATATATGTTATCTGTCAATATAATGGACGCGATAGTGATAAGGAGAGACTTTTCAATAACTAGAGCTTTATTGGGAACTTCAAAATAGCTCAACCCTAGCTTGCCTCGAGCACCATATTAGTCCCTATAGACAAGACATGCTAACAGGTGCACACAAAAAAAAGCCCTTCTTACCGGAGACCTAACTCAATACATAAACGCACGGATGACCCATAGCAAAATAATGACACGAAAAGCAGGGGTAAACATTTGTGTTACGAAGCCCAATACCGCAGTTGAAGAATTGGTCTGTACGTCAACTCGCGGCAAGCGGGAACTCCAGACTACACGAACTATAGGGTTCCTCCTCCAGTGAAGTTTATTCGTTTCAGGTTTTCCATTACAGTGAGAATTCCAAGGAACTTCACTCAAGTTCTCTGAACCTCGAGCCAGAAGGTAAATCCGGTGCCCACGTCCACCAATCAAAGAGATCATGAATGTCACATCTGCTGTATTCTAATAACAATAGGAACAATTTTCGGTATTGAATCTTAATAAAATTACGGAAATCTCCAAAAATGTACGCAACACGAGGTTGTAGTTACCACCCCATGCTGATCATTAAAAATACCCGCAGCGAATGCAACCACCTCCTCACGTTAACAGCGGGAACCTGGTCAACAAAAGACGAAAGCATAGCGCAGCTACATAAAAAACTTCTCGAGTCTCCTTAATTTAGTGATGTACTTGTACATTATATTGGTGTTCGAGCTTACGACATGTCATATCGGATGTTAATTTTTGAAACACTCTTCACGCATTTCACCACTAGGATCATTTTTCATTACGCATTGAAATTACTTTAGACAACTGTTGACAACTATTGACAGCTTTTGCTATCCTTTTCACGGAATATTGCCAATTTCTATGCACAATTTGAAAGGGAAGTTTTTTCCATGCGTATCAAGTAACAAATTTAGATTGATGTTAATTGGAGGCCAGCTCTGTACCTGCATGCCTACTCAATCTATATTAACGGAGGTCAAGAGATAATCAACGATGCGATCTTGAGTGTCAAAGAAATATGTATACTGCTAAAAATTTTTTTTTTTAGCTCAAAAATATTGATTTCTTTGATAAGCGTGAAATAATTCTAGTTTAATTAACAAAAATGCTCATTAACACGTTAAGTGCGGCACGACCAACCGCGGTTGCCTGATGGCCTAAATAAAAACCGCCAAGTCCGCGAATAAAAAAGCCCCATATTCAATATTTACTAGTAAATTTGTAGGTTCCGATGCAAAATTAAATTTTATATTCCTCGTACTTTTCAAAATTTATTAAGGAAGTTCGCCACCATATTTTTTTCCGGCCAATGTAATTAAAAAAAACTCAACAGCAGAATTTGTCCAGAAAAAAGATCCTGCGACCAACCGGAGGGCTGTGCTGCTCTCAACGTGTTAAAATGTAGTCATTCATTCTAGAATTATAAACCATCCTTCTCCTGTATAAGTACCGTTTGTGCTGATAAGTTAAAAACAACGATACATGGAATGAAGTAATATTTAAAATAGTTTTTATAAATCAAACTAAGTATATCCAACTACTTACTTGACAAATAGGGAGTAAAACACTGCAATAGATTGAATGTATCAAGTGAAAAATGTAATTCTAGGTAATTCATTCTCATTTCGAAAAGACCAATAAAGAATTCACTTCTTATTCATAAGTTAGTAAGAGAGAAGAGTGATATGTATGTCAGGTCATTGTAACTTTATTGAAGCGCTGTGGAAGTCCGTGCCTAGAAGTCGTTGCTCTGGCAGTCACATGGCGTCGTGCGAAATCAAAAGGACGAGTTGCGGTAGTGAATGCAGAGTGCAGTCACTCCGCATGCGGCGGTTGAACGGTGAGTGTATGTGGTGTCGCTCCATTATTTTGGCTACTGCGTGTAGGTTAAGCTGTAAAGGTTGTTGCAAGGATTATGGATCTTCTATATTATTAATGATCTTCGAGTTGGATATTTTTTTTTCATTTAAGTGAAAGAAGATTGTGACCTTGCGTATCACCGCAACTGCCGTGATCGCCTTGAAACTTGTGAAAAACAGCCTTGGAACGTAGGTGCCTGCTATGAACTGACGTGAGGACATTCTCGTAGTATTATAGCCATCAGAGTACATTATATTATATTATATAACTGGCGTTAGGACATTCTCGTAATATTATAGTCATCGTAGTACATTATATCATATTATATAACTGGCGTTAGGACATTCTCGTAGTATTATAGCCATCAGAGTACATTCTGCCCCCAGTCGTTAACAATCTTTCATCATGACTCCTGCTGACGTTAATAGATTTTGCTCAAGTTTGTTTGAAAATCTTCTGTGAGTGGAATTTTGTTTCAAAAAATCATCATTTAAGAGGTGTTACGGTTCGACGAAAGAATCAGTGTATTTTGAACATTAGCGTTTATATGCTCTATCATGCATGTACATATTAATTACATTTAATTTCGTTAACATTGTGTGCACAAACATTGATGTGCTGCATTGTGTGTACTCAACATTGATGTGCTGCACTGTGTATACAAACATTGATGTGCTGCATTGTGTGTACTCAATATTGATGTGCTGCACTGTGTATACAAACATTGATGTGCTGCATTGTGTATACAAACATTGATGTGCTGCACTGTGTATACAAACATTGATCGATGTGCTGCATTGTGTATACAAACATTGATGTGCTGCATTGTGTGACAAAATTCTCTCGCTTAGCATTACTTCAGTGGCATAGCGTATTTTTCATTAAACTGTATTTTCCAACGGGAACGCAAAACCTTTTAATTTAAGCTTAGCCCTTTCATTGCCATTTTTTCAATTTACCTCCTAAACGAGTTAATTCTCAGAATTAGTCTAAACGAAGATGCACGAAGAGGTATTGCGGCTATCCCCCAAACTTTACGGTTAATGTTAACATTGAAATTGTTCACTAACAGAGCTGGTCTGATCGAGGTGCAGCAGGCAAGAGAAAGCCTCTCGAACGCAGTTCCAGCCGACACTCGTCACATAGTAACAGGCTTGGAAGAATGGACAAGCTACGGGATAATGAAACCTCAACGAGTGCCGGCAATGAAAAAGATTTAAATCAAGAACATCCCTTAAGAAACAAATGCACTCACTTGGTAAAGGATGCATGGCGATGGCTGTCGTCCAACTGGTCTCAAGTGGTACTCGTTGGCACGCCTCTCGTCTTTGCACTCATCCCGATTATTAATAACACAAAAGTAAGTGTCAATTATGCATAGGGAAAATTTTGCAATAATACAGCCAAGAAAAGTCATTTGATCTCTGTGTTTTTCTAACCAACATAGGAAGCAAAATGTGCCTACGTCATTTTGGTGATGACCGTGTACTGGATGACGGACGTGGTACCGATGCCAGTAACATCTCTCATTCCGGTTTTCGGTTACCCACTTCTGGACATCTTATCAACCGGAGAGGTGTGCCAGCAGTACCTCAAGGGCACCGTCATGATGTTCCTGGGGGGCGTCATAGTTGCGGTGGCAGTGGAACACTGTAACTTGCATAAGCGGATCGCTCTGTTCGTCATCCTGAAAATCGGTGAGTTGCTCATCACTTCTAAGGTGACCAGAATAAAGTCTGCTTCAACGGAATTTTTTTCGCTCGTTAAAAAGCACGAAAAGTGCTTCGTAGCAAAAATTAACTTCATAACTTGCAGGCAACAGCTCTTAAAGTAGCATCAATTGAATTTTCATTAATTTAAACTTCGTCATTTTGGCATGACTTGAATACCATATCGAGTTTCAATATTATTAACCTCTACTCATTAAGGTTTGAGCCCAAGACGACTGATGATCAGCTTCATGGTGACGTCAGCGTTCTTGTCCATGTGGATCTCCAACACCGCGACCACGGCCATGATGGTGCCCATCGTACAAGCTCTTTTGCGCGCCCTTTACAAGGTAAAAAATGACTATAAAAGATGTCCGCCGTTGGATTTAGATTTTTTTATATTGTGAAGTTACGATAGTAATGCAGCATATTTTGTGGGAGCAAACACTAGAATAATAATTAATCTGCACTGGCACGTGATTCACTGCCATTCATGCCACGTGTGCCATAGCGTACGATATGTAATGATGTTTATCCTGTCAGAAATACTAACTATTCTGTAATAATTATGCACTACCTCATAATCGCATAACTGGACCACATTCATGGCGGATTTCACGATGTGATGCTCGGCAGGATCGGGAAGAGGCGAGCGAGTTTGATTCGACCGAAGCTACAACGATGGTCACCATAGAGCCATCAACGGAGAACCTCACCAACCATGCGAACGATAAGTAAGCGCGAAAAACTCCTGCCTTTTGCTGATCACTTTCCAATTCATGAACATTTTGCGTTTAATGAAAAAATGCCAAGCATGAGAGAAGACAACGTTTGTGATAGAAAGATGCGTTGGGTTCATCGGAGTGACAGAGATTTATTGAGTTCAGGTGTATGTTGTAAGTGGTATCAGATGGCTATATTTAACCGTCGACTGGTTTGGTTTTACGGGACTTGATTTGTTTGGAACAAAATAACAGGTAATCAAGATCAACATATATTTTTCAGGACAATTAAATCGATCGAAAATCTTGGAGAGGATCAAGCATATCAAATTCAGTCTCTTGATAATGGTTTCAGTACGACCAGTGGAAATTTAGCAAGCGTTCAAATGGAGCGCACGGAGAGCTCAAAACGTAATTCAAAACATTCCGACAACGATGAACAGGATTCAACATCATCAAATGATAACCGAAAACTGGGTTCAGAGCAGCTGCAACCAGTGACATCACAAAGCAGAAAAACATATGAAAACTCGGAAGAAAATGTTGCTTTCCCAGCAAACACAGTCAATGCTCAGACAGATGAGGTCGAAAATGTGTCCATTGAGTCAGATAATATTCAGAAGAATAAAAAGCTGGCACCGCAGGAAGATTTTTCCGGCCAGTTGGCCGCTATGTTCTTGTTGGGGATCGCCTACTCCTCAAACCTCGGAGGTACAGCCTTCCCCACAGGCACGGGCGCCAACATAATCTTGTGGGGCCTCTTGGAGAGGTAAGAAAGTACCAACTTGATTTATGAGAGAACACTATGCCTTTGCTTATACAAAAGCTTCTATCAGGGAATGGATGAACAATTAAAGATTTAGTTACATTACAATGTTACAATACCAGTTTTTTTGTCCTTTTGTTCAATCTTGCAAACAAGCACGTTCACCGAGCCTACCTCAGTCAACTTCGCCACATGGATGGCCTTCAACGTGCCGGTGATGCTGGTGTGCGAGTTGCTTGCATTCCTCATACTGGACGCCATGTTCGTTGGATGGGGGTGAGAAAGAGTAATGCATCGTCTCAAATTTTATCATAATTCGCTGAAAGAACTTTAAATGTTTCAATATGCTTAAGAGTAGATCTACTTTGTTTTCTGTGGATTGTTGATCTATTCTTAACTGAGACAAGATGATGCCCTCATCTTGTCTCTGTTGATAAAATGGCGAAAGGCCAACTTATTGACGAATGTTTTGCAGTTTTACTGTTTTAGGTATGATCAACTTTCGCTCTTATCATAACTTACTACTTGGATTGGTCATAATGCCTTTTTTATTGCTTAAAGTCTTTTTATCTATTCACAATTGTGTAGGAGTTCATTCACAATATATTTGCAGGAGGTGGCGCAAGTTGCCTCACTCCAGTGTAGAGGAGGAACGCCACATGAAAAAAGTGGTGCTGCGAAGCTACAAATCCTTGGGGCCCATAAATTTCCACGAGATCGCAGTCTTCACCCTCTTCTTGATTCTAGTTTTTCTCTGGGTCTTTAGAAGCCCTGGCTTCACTGCAGGCTGGGTAGATGCTATGAATAATGAAGTGTGAGTGCAATTTATACATGAAAATATGTCGTGTACAATTTGATAGTATATTTCATTTCTGTAATTATCTTATTTAATGCACTTATAAGAGTTAAAAAAGTGATTATACCTGATCGGGCACCGCGCGCATGTTTGATGCAACGAAATATTATTTGTAAATATTAAATATTAATTTTATATTTATATTATATATATTTCTGAAATTTAACCGTCTGTTTTTATTGTGTCTATATTATTCCTTGATATCATAGGGATTTTTTCATTGTTTTAGTCACAGTTAGCACTTCATATGATATAAGCAATTTTTGAATTTTATTTCATCAACCACCAGGGCAAGTTTGTAAGTTTATAGTTTACTAAAATTCTTGTGCAATTAATGTTCCCGATTCCGCACATAGATTTTCCAACAGAATATAATTAATGAAAGATAAAAAAATTAAGCTCATTTGCTCCTCAGGAATGTTGGCAACGCCACCCCAGCCATCCTCATTGTCTTCCTTCTGTTTGTTATTCCCGCGAATCCTCAAATTTGGCCATTCAAAGACGGTATGTATATTAAAATAAATTAGCAATACACAAACCGCCAGAATTGATACACAATTCCCACCTCTCAAAGATTGATTCGGCTTCTTCACCAACTTAATCATATATAATTTGATGAATGTTAGAACACTTGACAACTAGCCAATGTTCTTACCCTTATTAAAAGTAACTAACTACTTAGAGGACTCTGGAGCTCAATAACATGTTGGGTTGGATGCAGCCACAACTTTTGATTCAATAAATTTGTAGAATGAAAAACTCAAACAAGGTAAGAATTTCCTGTCTCAAAACCTGTTGAACCTATTAATCTCATTTCCTTTCCCTCGATTTGCACATGTCTGTTAAAATTTTATAGAATTTCCACTCACAAATTTTTTTCTGCAGGCGCAAAAAAGAATGAAAAAGAAAGCCAGCAGCCAGTAGCTTGCCTGACGTGGCTAGCAGTGGAGAAAGGTGTCCCGTGGGGAATCATCCTTTTGATGGGTGGTGGATTCGCCATGGCAGAGGGAGCATCAAAGTCTGGTCTTTCTGTATGGATCGGTCTTCAACTGCAGTCTTTTTCCATTCTACCTCATGCAGTCATCGTCATACTCGTTGCCACCAGCGCGTCCTTCTTGACGGAGATGGTGTCAAACATGACCGCAGCTAATATTTTCCTGCCAGTGGCCCGGGACCTGGTGAGAGAGAATAATAGATTTTGTCATAGTGATGCTATGTTTCTTGGACGAATACTCTGAGCTATAATTATTCTTTTAGTCGGGTAGGTTGTTCGATACCCGTAGAGAAGATTCGCAAAACACAAAAAGAATTCGGTATTATTGGACGGTTTGGACGTACTTGATTCCGTCGCATTTTTTTTATGGTTTTCATTCTTCGATGTGCTATTCCTCATGTTAATTAATTAGAGTATATATTTAGTAACATCCAATGTAAGTGAACTCATCTTTATTTATTGTTTAGAATTCAAACTGCCTTTATGCAGTTTTGGTCAGCCCTAAATTCAGGGATGAAAATACTTTTTGCTAGTGCTAAATTTTTGAAGTTGTACACGAAGGCTCTGCTTGCAGGCTCTGGGGCTTGGGATGAACCCAATCTTCCTGATGTTGCCCGTGACGATCGGCTGTTCATACGCCCTTATGATGCCCGTGTCCAACCCACCCAACGCCATAGCTTACAATGCCTGCGACTCAATGACCACCAAACATATGGTGAGTGATGCTATTACAAGCCGAAAATCATATTGTAAAATATATGTTTTCGAAAGAATCGGAGATTGTCTCTCCATGTAAACTTTCCTTCCGTAACTAAAAAATAATGCATTTAATTCGATTGAAAAATTCAGCAGAAAAGCACCAGACCCCATTGACATCACAAAACTCCGACTCAAACCTGTCCCTGAAACAGAGAACAGTATTGATTTCTGCACATTCAACCACCCATTTACGAAGGGTATTTATACGATACACTGAAACAATCCAAAAATATTTTTTCACCAACCCTATAAGTTTAAGAGCACCCTTGAAACAACTCGACTGATGTTTTTTTAAAGGCATAGACAGAAGCGATTTCATAGGATACAATACAATGGATTATTCAAACACCATACTACACACATTCTGCATATAAACGATGAAATTTAGCTCGCCGACGCAACCCAGACATCATATTCCGGTATGTATTCAAAGCGGTTGACATAGGTGCGACACACTGTACTCAAATGCAAATTCATGCAAATCAACTCCACTTTTTCGATGAAAACTACTTTAAGGGTGAGCTATAGACAAACTCCACCTCCGTTGCTTGTTGCAATTATTTTTTTTCTTGTTTCAGATGAAAGCTGGTCTGATGGTGAAGCTGTGCTGCTTGGTTGTTCTGTTCGTCGCACTTGTGACTCTGGGTGACGCCTTGTTTGATCTCTACGAGGTCCCGAGCTGGGCTTTGTCGACGAGAACGGCTCAATGATCTTCGAACTCTACAATTGCTTGAATATTCGTGATCTTTACAAAGGTTTAAGAACCCTTGATCTTTACAACGGCTTGAGGATCCTTGATCTTTACAACTGATTGGGATCCTGGATCTCTGCAACTGCTAAAAGATCCTTGATCTATACAACGGCTTGAGGATCCTTGATTTGTAAAACTGCTCAAGAATCCTTTTCTCATCCGAAAACTTTCTTGTAGTTCTATGAACTGCAAGATGACTTAAATGATTCATGATCATTCATTTGAATCAGTATGGAGATTCTGGTAATTTATCAAGTGACAGCTGCAGCTCTGCATTAAAAAGCGCACTAGCAGCAGTAAGAATTAGCAACCAGAGTACAATTCACCTAAGATATAAGTAAAAATTGAAATGCAAACTCAACACCTGCATTTTAATAACCAGGAAGTAGCCAAACGTTATAATTTCACTCTAAAAAGTTCATGCATATTTTATTGCATGAACTATCATATAAAGGAAAAAGTAATTTATTAATGTATAGCATTATAGCCATTTTCAACGCATTGATGCAGTCAAATTACACTATCCAAAGCACGAAGACTATATTAAATAAAGTTAAGGTTAAGAATAGACAAACTTATTAATCTCGCGTTATCACCGAATTATTTCACATTGAGAGTCACTGAGAAAATTGATCTCAGGTATAGGGTAACATGGGGCAGCGAGCCCACTGCGGGTCACGGGCCCATAGCGAGTTTCTCGATAAGTATGGCAGATATTGGTCCGTGTTCTCTACCGCCGGTCGACAGTTTCACTGGGATGAAGTGTACGGATTTACGTTTTGCTAAGTGTTTGCGTTATTAAGTTATTTGTGAATAACTGTTTTCGCCCAGATAAAAATTTTTTTGCTGCTAAATAAAATTTTTTTCTATTACTGTAGATGAAGCTTTTGAAATTACTGTGAATTATATTTTGAAAGTAATATTTATAGGGATAATTTTGAGATCAAGTTTAGACTTTTAGCTTTTAAAATAAAATATTGACACGATATAAATTGAAATGATACCTATAGTGAGGGCAACGGGCCCACGCGTGTCACGGGGCAAAGCGCCCATGGTGAAGTCTTGTGTTATACATCATTAGATTTGTCTAAATGTTTTCAAAACTATGACTAGCTTTTTGAATTACAAATTACACTTCATATTGCATGATTTTTTGATTTGCCGCCTCAAGGCAGCAGGTTTAGTTTCTAGTTATGCGTATTTATGACCCCTTATCGAGTTTTTGACTCTTGCATTGCCAAAAGTTGATTTCAGTCAACACCAATGAGCCAAAAGTTGATGAGTTTTTATGGTGTTGGCTGAAATCACGATTAAGTACGAATTCCCTGCACATAATATCTGGATTATGGATGAAACTGGAACGAAGTTTTTCTCTGATCAACTAAATATATTTTTTCTTGTCAAGGATAAATTTTTTCATGTCAAGGACGAATTTTTCAACGCAAGGATATATTTTTCAAGTCAAGGATATACATTTTTATGTCAATGAAATATTTTTCTTCACGTCAGTGATAGATTTTTTAAGCCAAGAGTATATTTTTTCAAGCTAAGGATATTATTTATTGAGTTGTTAATAAATGAATGACATTTTTCTTATTTTTTACTCTAAAGTGTTGTATTATCATTTTTAAACGAAAAATATGCAATTGTGGTGAAGGGTCCAAGGGTGGGCGCCTTGCCCCAAGCCCATGGGCCCATTGCCCCAGGGGTGGGGCAATGGGCCCATTTTGACACTTTTTACAAAATAGTGTTTCATTAAAAATTGAATTACTCTATAGGCGCCTAATTCACATCATACATTCCTCATTAGTTGTAACTTTAAACAAAACAAAGAACCACCTCGTATCAATTAAAACTTCATCAAAAATTTAGTTTAAAAAAGGGGGGGGGGGCGCGCTGCCCCACGTTGACCTACTAATAAAAAGCTCATTTGAAAATTTATATATTCCTTCTAAGACCTTTACCAAACCATAATTATTCCTTATTAGCTGATGTTATAGAGTTTATCAGGAAAAAAATCACTGGGATTTGAGAATCCTATAATCAAATCGTCCGTGTAACCCTGATAATAATCCTTTAACTATAGTCATGTATATTAATGAAAGCCCATTCAAATACTCATTCAACGAAGAGCCCCGAAGTGAAACCATTTATGTAATTTGATGGAAACGTAATATAGAATGTACATACGGATGTTTATATTCTATTTGTTGTAAAGTTTCAATTTAGCTATAAGAGTCTTAAAAGGATACAACATGCTCCTCCTATCACGGAGGATATGACAACTTTAAGACACGAGAACTTTAGTTCATAATTCCCAATCAGTCATAGCGTATTTCACACCTGCATAAATCGGTAGATGGAAATTGTGCAGGTGGTGCGGCAGTTGGAGGGATCGGTGGTGCAGGGACGCAGGTGGTGCGTCAGTTGGAGCTATGGTGCAGGTTTTGTGGCACTTGGAGGTACCAGTGGTGCAGGTGGTGCGGCTGTTTGCTGTACTGGTGGTGCAGGTGGTGCAGGTAGTTGGAGGTACAGATGGTGCGGCTGTTTGATGTACTGGTGGTGCAGGTGGTGCGGCAGTTGGAGGTACAGATGGTTCGGCTGTTTGATGTACTGGTAGTGCAGGTGGTGCGGTGGTTGGAGGTACAGATGTACTGGTGGTGCAGGTGGTGCGGTGGTAGGAGGTGGTCAAGAATGCAACACCGCGGCAGTTGAGTCCCTAGCTCGGCACGAAGAACATTTCAGTTTAGCGCGGGCTCGAGGCTCGACTGTCCGGAGCTGTGGTGCAGTTCGCCTGGCTGCTTGAACGAATTCGATAAAAGTTCTGTAATACATCGCTCAGACGTCTTCAATAATAAAAATGCACTAATTAAAATACCTAGTATTTATACTGCCGATTATTGTTGTGCAATTTTTCGTTAAAAAATATAGGAAGAAATTCGTCTGTTATCTCCCATTAAAAGCGATGATTCGATTGCAAAATAGATAGAAAATGAGAAGTACAAATATAAATTCGCATATAATATTATTTTTTGATCCTTAAACACAAACCTAGATGTTTAATAAAGTTTTTAAGACGTAAGACGAAATTTACAAAATAGAGAAGAACTATTTAAGACGTAATTTTCAAAACTTTGAAAAGTAGTCGGTACATTTCCCCCATTTCAGGTTGTATGCCTATTTTATTGTGTTATTGTTCGTTATCCAGACGTTTCACTAGTCATTTGTTATACATTGCGAACATTTAGCCTAACTTTGGCATCAAAAAACTAATTTGTGAGTAACAAATTTCATGTTATTATAATTAATTATATAACATAATTATAATTATGTTATAATTATATATAACATAATTATATATATATAATTATGTTATATATATATATATAATTGGAGTACCATCGATAATTTTTTATCATCACCCTAGACCATAGATAATTTTTTCAGCAAATTATCATTGTGAAATTTGGCCACTTTTCTTGGGATCCGAAAGAATAAAAAAATATAACTCAGTACTCACTGCAGTGAGTGACAAAGAGCGCATTTTCTCGTCGACGAAAACTTGAGGTCACGGACGGACGGACAGACGGACGGACGGACAGACGGACATGGCGAGTACAATAGTACATTTTTCCATAAATGAGAAAATGCGCTAAAAAAGCCACTATTCCCTTAGAGTTCTGAAGCATAGAGTTGACTCAGTAAACCAGACTTGCTACTGTTTGTCGTCTGAACGCATTCACAAGTGGACTTCAAATGCAAAGCATGTGCTTTGGTGGGCAAAATTTTTATAAACCATTCTAAAATTAAGCTTGCTTTGTAAAGAATTAAATCTACTTTTTTGATTAATTAAGTTGGTAAAAAAACGATTAAATTAAAACTCATTAACTTACGAAATGAACATTTAAACAATGTTAAGTTTGAGATTTCGAATGCTTATAGGAACAAATTTGTTTAGAGAAATCGAGGAAAAATTTCCTGAAGAGTGATCACCTTGTCTTGACTTTTGTCTCAGGGTGAAAAAGGTAAATCGGTTGTTTAAGAAGCCAATATTCGTGAACAGACTCGAGTGAATGCAAAACGTTTCTCCTGTCCTGAACGATTCTAAAAATTTGTCTATACTCGTGTGTAGAACAATTAATTTTATGAAAAAATTGAAGCTCATAAATAGTGCAAAATATATAGCGAAGTGGTTTTTTTGACGAATTTTTTCTACCAATTCCAAAGTTCCAACTAATTGTTCTCAGATTTTTCCTCGTAATTTACTGATGAGGCGTGATTTTTTTCTAATTTAATAATCATATTCGATGCGATGTCTTCAGCTGAATATCCAGATCAAATGACGTAAAATAAAGCTGGTAGTTAACGATGAATGATAATTAGAAAATAAGCTAGTCACCCAGAGCACAATGACTCACCGTGAGTATATTATGTGTTGTTTTTATCGTTCGCAATTTACTGATTTTATTTTTAGTCTAAAATATTTTCTCGTTGAATGATCAACCAAATTCGGAAATTTAATGTCTGATAGTTTAATAAATTGAAGCAAGTATGTGTATTACATGGCTGTAATTAAGTTTTTCTTTTAAAATAAAGTTTCGCAAAGCAATTTTTTCACCGATATTTAAATCTAAGCTGAAAATACACGAAAAATCTAACATGCGGTTTTTGAATAAATTGATACCTAGCATTAAAACGGCGCAATTAGATTAAATTCTGGAGAAAACTGCAATAAGTCAATAAATAGAACCTCAGTGCCAGACAACTGAACTCTTCACTAAAATTGTATGATTTCCTGCTTAGCCAGCACGTCCTGGTCACGTGGGACGCTCCACTTTCAAAAAAATCTCTGTTGAAAAGCCATTCTGCCTTTCAAAAGGAAGCGATTTGCGTGTGTTTAAATGCATTTTTCTCTATATTACTTTTAACTGAAGCAGTGATTAGCACAAGAAAGTTGAATATACATATATTAGCGGGGCTTTCGCAAAGTACATTCACAATACCTTTTCCGTCAGATAAATATAATTTTTTCGGATATATTCATGAAAATATCTGGCTACAGGCAGTTAAAAATGCTAAAACATATTTGCTTCATATTTTGTCAGTGGTAATTCATGAGATTGCAAAAAAAACAAAGTCAGAACCTCCCGATCAAAGTTGTATTAGGCTTAATTCACACCATACAGCCGAGCACGTGTCAGCCTAGTATTCATTAATTCAGTGGTTCCCCTACTGTTGCAAGCTGGTGCTCCCTTGCTTCCCAGTGAATTTTTAGCCCCCCCCCCCACACACACACAGACACATATGGAAACAAAACCCTCATTCTTGATATTTGTTATGCTGAAATTTGATAAGAGAAAGGTTTAACACAAATGTGTTTTTCTTAAATAAAACCCTATATTAAGTGAACCAATTTATTTTTTAGCCGTTTTAACTGTTTAAGCACTAGAAACTTAGGAGAGGTTAAAAAAATCAGAACTTTGTGGAAAAACCCATCGCTTAGGAGCCGTGTGCTGCACGTGTTGTGTACAAATCGTCGGACTGTCGCCCCCTTGTTGCNCTCCCCCCAGATCTTTCCACCGCCCCCAGGAGCGGTTCCGCCCTCTTTGAGAACCACTGCTTTAATGCATTTCTATAGAAGCATTCGCACCAGCCGTGCAAGGCACCTGCCATGCCCATGGAGTAAATGCTTCTATGGAAATACATCCAATACAAATAAATACATCCAATAAATAAATACATCCATAAATAAATACATTCATAAATAAATACATCCAATATAGAAAAAGAATATTGGACTGGACCGTGCCTGGCACATGTCTGGCACGTGCCAGGAGTATTATAAGAGCCCGGCCTTATAGGCTTGGTTCACACCACACTGCTGCAGTTGTGGTGGTGCCGGTTGAGATCAGTCACTCTGGTGATCGCCAGTCGGCAGCTAGTGCAAACATTATTTTGCACTCCTTCAGCTGTTACATGTTACAGTTACATGTTACAGTTACATGTTACAGTTACATGTCACGGTTACATGTTCATCTGTTACACCTAACTTACACGGTTCAGTTGCATGTAACCGTTTCATGTTACAGTCACAAGTTCAGTTGTTACGTGTTACAGTTACATGCTCTGCTGTTACATGTTATGCTGTTACACGTTACAGTTACATTTTCACATGTTACCTTAGTAACAGTTAAATATTCAAATGACATATATGTATGTTACAGTTGTATGTATGCGTTCGCCATGACTTTGATTGCGAATGCCCTAACTGGTGAACTCGAGAACGAAGATACATGCATGACAGAACTGAAAACGAGAAGTGAAAACAGTGTCAGAATTAATCTTCTAAAACTGGAAACGTAGGATAATTTTAATTTGGAACGTTCGAATTAAATGTCGAGTAAAATAACTCTGGAATTAAATATTGGTTCAAATGCAGGGGTTAGACGAAAAAGGGAAACACCTGAGAAATCCGCAAAATATATTTTAGTATATAGTGTAGATCTTCCTTTTGCGGCAATTACAGATTCAATTCTCCGAGGTATTGATTCATACATATTGTGAATTGTTTACAAATGAGTTTTAACTCACCCATTCTTCAGTTAAAATTCCCTCTCGCTCGTTTAAAGACGATGGCGGCGGGAATCGACTCCTGACTTGTATCTCTAAAATCGACCATTAATGCTCGATTGATAATATTCAGGTCTGCTGGTTGTGGTGGCCAAATGAGATGCCCAACTTCTTTAGAATGTTCCTCGTGCCAATTTTTAACAATCCCAGCTGTATAGATCGGGGCATTATCATCTTGAAGGATGACGTTCCTCCAAAATTCCTAAATAGTCAGGGCTGTTGATTTTTCCATGAAGAGAAATCATTGGTCCGCCGGATCAAGAAATAGCAACCCAGATCATCACAGATCCCCCGCCATGCTTTACGGTTGGGAGGAGGCAGTCGGGATTAAATGACTCTTTTGGCTGTCTCCAAACCTAAACTCGGCCAGAGGTCGGGAAAAAGAGAAAAATTCGTCAGAGAAAATCACATTTTTTCACTGCTCGAGAGATAAATTTTGGAGGTTTTTACGCCACTCTTAACGCTTTGAAGCATTTGTGTTTGAAAGCAGAGGTTTTCTAATTGCAGTGCTTCCAATGAATCCAGATCTGTCCAGCTCTCGGCAGATAGTTTTTATTGAAACAGGGTTCGTAAGGTTTTCATTGAGGTCTGCAGTAATTTTATCAGCCGTGGTCTTTCAATTGTCCCTCATAATTCGACTGAGGTACCAACGGTCTCTTTCAGACAACTGACTTTTTGCAAGACCTGTGAGTAGATAGCAAAAGGGGTGTATCGTCACACTTTCCATAAACAGCTTAAATCATAGGTTACCCCAAATCTTACCCGATCAAAGTTAACCAATTACCCCTGATCCTTCAATATTATTACGAACAATTACCCTCAAATCTTACCCAACAAAATTAACCAATTACCCCTGATCCTTTAGAAGTATTTTTCAGGCAATCGCTCTAGGTTATTCTCGGTTAAAGAGTGTAGTAAAATCGGGGTAAATGATCGTTAACTCATGATTCGGGAGTAATTGGTTAATTTTGTTGGGTAAATGATCCTGTTAAGCTGTTTATGCAGATTCGGGGGTAATTGTTCTTAATAATATTGAAGGATCAGGGGTAATTGGTTAATTTTGTTGGGTAAGATTTGAGGGTAATTGTTCTTAATAATATTGAAGGATCAGGGGTAATTGGTTAATTTTGTTGGGTAAGATTTGAGGGTAATTGTTCGTAATAATATTGAAGGATCAGGGGTAATTGGTTAACTTTGTTGGGCAAGATTTAAGGTAATTGTTCGTAATAATATTGAAGGATCAGGGGTAATTGGTTAACTTTGATCGGGTAAGATTTGGGGTAACCTATGATTTAAGCTGTTTATGGAAAGTGTGACGATACACCCCTTTTGCTATCTACTCCTGTGTTTTGCTGAGGACGTTTTTCCTTATCTTTCAAAAGCACTTATTACTTTTGAGACAGTACGTACCTCTAAAAACGTCAAGCATTCTGTAAATTTCTGTCACACTAGCACCTGCCATACGGGCATCAACAATTTGGACTCTTTGAGAGTCAGAGAGGTTTGCCATTTATAGGTTATGGGTTAGGTTATAGACACAAAAATTTACTAAAAATATCTATGCAAGGATAATATATCAATTAGCAACAACAATAAAACATCAAATGTGTTACGTTTTCATTGTTCTCTATGTTAAAAATTACGATGTCAAACTGTTAGGTGTTTCCCTTACTTTGTCCAATCCAAGTATGTCTTTAACAAAATACTAGCCAAAATTAATGGATCTTAAAGATAAATAATTAGCTACCACATTTCTTGATAGTAAAAAGCCATGCTTCCATACTGTAGTGCGAAATGTATCGTCGAAAACAATTTACAATGCGACGTACGTATAAGACCACTTTATCAAAGCGCAGCCTGAAATTAAAGGCGATATATTTGTCCAACTACAAGAAGCTTCATACATAAACGAAAAACGTTATTTATAGACAGACCTCTTATTACAGCTGGACGTTATAAATGGCTTTATTCAATACGAGGAATACTTTTCAGCTCATTAATGATACTATGATATCGGAGTACAACACAATTGACGTGATGACCTTCAAAGCAGCTTAAGCTTCATGTATATAAACGTGACTCGAGACTCGACTGAAACAAAAGCCTTGCAAAATTTCAAGTTTGTGGGTGACACAGCGCGGCTGAGCCCAGCGAGGCCTGTTGTGAGGGCTGGGTCGTTGCAACAGGTGGAGTCTGTTACGCAGCGTACTGGTATAAAGCTGACTAGATATAGTACGTGATTATATTGAAGTGATCTTTCAATTTGAATATAAGTACGAGTTATAACTGAATTTAAATAATGACACTTTAAAATTATCTGTGAAAATTGTGGTATCCTCCAAGCATTATTTCATGATGCCATGTCCATGTTTTTCAAAATAAAATGCCTACAATCTTCAAATGTACATTTTTCAATGCTAACTGGAAAGTAGATGATGACTAAAAATATTCGGAACGAAATTTCTTCAAGATGAAAATATTTGGATTTTTAGTAACATCAAAAACATGTGCTAGTGATCACTCTCACGCGTCGGTGGCTCGAGTGATGCACCTCATGAACTGCGCGGTCGTCGCCCGCCCTCCAGCCATAGCAACTCTTGTAAAAAATTTACTGTGGAATGTAGAGCGAACGCCATGACTCTCACTTAGGCTGTTGGTGCCTGTGCTAGGCATGTATTATTATTTTATAATTAGTAAATGATTTGGTGTGACGTGGAATTAGTTAGTAGAAATACGAGTAATACATGATATATATAAAACAAATTAAATGTACATTCATATTCTTTCTGCCCCTTAGGCGATGCTTTGGCTGATGGCAAAGTTTGCATGCCTTAATAAAAGAAATAGAAACCCGCAAAATATCGGATACATACATAATATATAATAATATAATCTATACCGCCTTTGAAGCTTTTTAGCTTATATAGGCATTCACTAGGAAGCATTTTGTATTTTTTTTTCTTTAAATTTTCGATGGTCTCTTATTATGTACGCTCCTCTGTGAATAAAGAATAAAGAAGAATATGGTTCAATGCAAACTACTATTTATGAATACGAAACAGTTATTTAATGGCGATTATATGATTGAACCGATTATCTATGATAATATTAATCCGTTAAACAATGCCCAATGATCGATGAGCAATAAACATCAAACAGAAGTTTTCCGGTTCCAAACGGGCGACAATCGATTAGTAAAATCGATGAATTGATTGATTGCATTGTTCGATGATGATAGGATAATGTATATTTGTTCGATGTACTGCATGCTCTATTCGATGATGATTAATAGAGTACAGTCATTTGATTGACCGAAAAATATGGAAACTTAAATTGTGTGCAGTAATGAATGTGTGCGATATAAATTCAAACTTGCATTGCAAAGCGTTTTCTAAGTTTTCCTGGCTGACATATGTTGATTGATATTTAAGACAAAACTGGCGCTGAAGTATCAAACTCCAAATTAAACGAAAAGATGTTATTAAGCTGAATGCGTGATTTTCTTGCTTTGATTATCTTCAAAACTATACGATTAACTAACTATTCACCTTCTCAGCTGAGACTCTGCGTTCTAGCTACTATAGTAGATCATGTCTATAGTTTGAGCCAGGCGTTCTGGACCGAACTGGAACTGCCACTACCGTCCGGAGGGTACATTTTCTGCCTAATGTAGAGACGGCCTTTTGAGTAGCAAATAATGGTTTAACATGGCAGTGAGCTCCTCCACAGAAAAGTGAAGGCACTTAAAAAGTGTAGCTTTGGATAAGTGTTTTGAATTAATTCAGAAGAAAAAATTTTTATTCTAGTTGCATTGTGTCTTTTGTACAATAATACCATAGGTGTATGCTAATTAAAGTGTGTAATTTGGTTGCATGCTAACGGAAGTAAACAAACTGGATGGCACGCTAACAGGTGTAAACAAAGTGGATGAATGCTCACTAAAGTGAACAAACTGGATGCACGCTAACTGGAGTAAACAAACTGGATGCATGCCAACTGAATTAAACAAATTATATGCATGCTAAGTGGAGTAAACAAACTAGATGCACGCTAACTGGAGTAAACAAACTAGATGCATGCTAAGTGGAGTAAATAAACTAGATGCATGCTAAGTGGAGTAAACAAACAGATGCACGCTAACTGGAGTAAACAAACTGGATGCATGCTAAGTGGAGTAAACAAACTAGATGCATGCTAAGTGGAGTGAACAAACTGGATGCATGCTAAATGGAGTAAATAAACTGGATGCATGCTAAGTGGAGTAAACAAACTAGATGCACGCTAACTGGAGTAAACAAACTAGATGCATGCTAACGGGAGTAAATAAACTAGATGCATGCTAAGTGGAGTAAACAAACTAGATGCACGCAAACTGGAGTAAACAAACTAGATGCATGCTAAGTGGACTAAACAAACTAGATGCATGCTAAGTGGAGTGAACAAACTGGATGCATGCTAACTGGAGTAAATAAACTGGATGCATGATAAGTGGAGTAAATAAACTGGATGCATGATAACTGGGGTAAACAAACTGGATACATTCTAACTGGAATGCACAGTTCAGAACGCAGTGTACAGTTAAGATTCAGTCGCTGTGCTATAATTCTAAATAATTTTTTAGATTAACTTCTTACTTATATTGGAAGCGGTTTAGAAGAAAAGTTCCATTCCTTTTTGTGAAATGCTCCCAGAGTTTATGGCTAATATTTACAACTTAGTTTTGTACGCAGGAAGCGGACCGAAGCGAGGAGCAGCTGACACAGGCAAGCCTCCTGCTCGCAGGTCCGGCAGATTTTCATCAGACAAAAGGGGGACTAAAGTAATGGGCAAGCCACTTGGTAAGGATGAACCAGCTGGCAAGAGCCAATTTAACGAAAACCGAGGTTTCCATGGACGGAAATGGTTTGGAAGGGCCAAATATGCTTGGAGGTGGCTCAAGTTGAACTGGACGCAAGTGGTGCTTCTAGGCACTCCTACCGTCTTTGCACTTCTGCCCCTTATCGGCAGAACTAAAGTGAGTGACAGCCGTAACTTAGTTACAGTAAAATTGATTTGTAATAATCTCGCTAATAGAATGTAGTTGATCTTCATGACGTTATCAACTTGTACAGGAGGCAAAATGCGCGTACGTCATCATTGTGATGGCAGTGTACTGGATGACGGACGTGGTGCCGATGCCAGTGACTGCTCTTATTCCGGTTTTTGGTTACCCATTACTGGACATCTTATCAACCGCAGAGGTGTGTCAGCAGTACCTTACAGGCACCATCATGATGTTTCTTGGAGGCATCATAGTTGCAGTGGCTGTAGAGCACTCAAATCTGCATAAAAGGATTGCTCTCTACGTCATCCTAAAAGTCGGTGAGTGTCAAGTCAGATCCCAAGAGATCTAAACAAATTAATCCTCAGAATCATAGTATTGTGACTAATTCTTGAGCATCAAACCCTCTACGCTTGGGAGTATATTAGGCGTTCTAAAATGTTAGGAAACATCAATAATTTGTTCTTATTAGCATAATAAAGGCGCTCCAAATCTTGTCTCAAATTAATGAGAAAACAATATTTTGTATTTGTGTTTCTTCTGAACCATTCCGTTCTTTCAAATTCAATGGATCTTTTTTAGGGTTTTACTCATAAGTTCTACTACAGTTTTTATTTTCAGTCATTTGTTTTAATGTATTTCATTTGTAGCAGAATAAACTTAGCACAGTAACAAGTTTCCGGCGTACGAAGCCAATGGAACAGACCTACTTATTACTCGCGTTATCCATCGTCAGCAGTTACCTGAATACTTGAGTTACCCATCCCCAGTAAGCGACACCTTAAGCACTTGAGTTAACCAACGTCAGGAGCTCCTTACTTAAGTTCTCCATCACCAGCAGACACTGTATACTTAAATACTTGAGTTCCCCATTTCCGGCAGTTAATTGAATGCTTCAATTGTTCAACCTCCAGTAGCCACAGGAATATTTAAGTTACCCAACCCACCAGCGCCTACAATCGATAAAAATGTTAATGCGAAATCATTCGAATTATTTTTAACATATACAGGTCAAAGCCCGAGACGATTGATGGTGGGCTTCATGGCAACATCGGCGTTTCTGTCCATCTGGATATCCAACACCGCAACCACGGCCATGATGGTGCCCATCGTGCACGCACTCCTGCAGACCCTATTCAAGGTAAAATATTATCTTTCTGCAAGTTCTTAAATTTCTCCATTTAGGCAACACGTACTGTCGCTAGTAAAAGATCTTCAGATGTATATGGCGTTCAGATGTATAAATCTGCTTGTGATCCCACATGAAGACGGTATGAATTTTACTAATTTTGATTAAAATGTTTTGATCATCATTTCGATTTGATTGCACCGTAGGAACGGAAAGCGGCAGGTCAGTCGGGACAAGCTGAACCAACTACGGTGGTCACCATAGAAGAGGCAACCGACGCAGATCTCAACAACCACGTCTACGACAACAAGTAAGGGCAAATGAAGCCTCAGACGACTGACCATCTTTTCGTATTGAAATTATTGCCACGAATTGTCTCGTGGAATCGCCTTGTACTGGATCCAATCTCTACTTAACGCAAAATTACGCCATAGAAATAAGATTTACTCACGTTCTCTTGTAGGATCTGCAAAAATGTTAAGCTAAGCAAAAGCTAAAGTTACTAGTGTTTTTCAAAACTGGCGTCATACAAAAAATTGCCGAAACTTCCAAAAACAACCAAACAAATCAAATTTATCGAAAAAAATGCCGATTCCAGCACAGCAGCTAACAAATTGATGGTTTCCTCAGTTCTGGTTCATTAATAGTTCTTTCGTATCAATTCTCATTGCCTTTAATTCTGAGAAATTCAAAGTGAACTGGCAGCTATAATGTACAGTATTTCTTTCGTAAATACATAATCACTTGATTACTCGTCAGACTTCACGAAAATAGGATGTGTCAACAATGCATGCTAAACCAAAAAACTTGAGGCTCCTACACTGAGTATGAGCATTTCCTTCCTCAAATTTAACGATGGGCTGGGTGACGACGTCAAACTCACTCGAAACCCTGGTCGCAGGCTTTGACACAAGAAGGCTTAAAATTTGTATAGCCTCTTTTAACGACACACACCTCGTGTATTGATGCTCATGTAGGGTGCCTGTTAGTGATTTGGAAAGAAAATTTGGCTGCAGCTCACACCATCAAGTTTACAGACAATATAACGCATGACATCTTCCTTGAATCAATATTTGATACGCATCTGAGTCGAAACATAAACTTAGGAATTGTTGTTGAACGGCAGCAATTGGCTCGAGTTAGAGTCGCACACCCTCGGGAGGAACAGGATTAATTTTAGGACACCATTTTAATTTTAATTTCAACACCCTTTCAATTTTTTCGGATTTATTCGAAGAGCTTTGAACATAGTTTTTACTGGAGCCGAAACCGGCCAAATCCACCTTAACATTTTCTATGCGTGCAGTTGTAAGTAAACCATGATTAACATCATATTCACTAACGGCCTTTAAATACATTCTGAACTTTCAACTCAGTCGGTAAACAATTTAACATGTTTTAACGCGGGACTACTCCAAACACTTGTTCTTTTAGCAGTATGAGCATTTCCTTCCTAGAAGTATGTTCCTAGTATGTGTCCTGACACGGAATATTAATGCGATATCAATAGTAGCCCAGTGGCTACAGTTCAGAGTACCAAGATTGGCGCAGAGAGGCGCGGGTTCGATCCCAGTTCTGTGCGCCAGTTTCTGGTCAGAATCGGCAAGGAGGCCGGGCGGTTAAGCACAACAGAATTGTGGCAGTGAGTTGCGCGTTCGAGACCGCAAAATGCTGTGAATTTTCTGCGATGTTAAGAATCAGCGACAGGCCTACGGCCTACTAAACGCTAAAACTGCTATTATTATTATGATTATGACAGAAATCATTGAAGGTTACAGGTGGGCAAAATTCAAACATTTTCAAGACGCAGAATCTCAAACTTCTCAGGGAAAGCGCAGTTTAACCATGTGACACATCGCATGAAGACATACTATCTTATTACAAACACTGCCTCGGGCTCACTAAAAATAGTAGTTTCGCAATTCACGAGTAATCAATTAAGAATGATAGACAACGATAGTGGACACGTTCTCTCGTGACTTCCGACTTCAAGAAACTGCCATCTAATTCACGCATCGAGACGTCTTTAAGTTTTCTTATTCCAGAAACTTCAAGTTTTTGGTAATATTCGATAGAATAAAAGTGTATTTCCTAATACCCATATCAATCGCTGCACGCTCAATTTGACTCAGGTTTCAGCAACATTAACTTCGTGTCGGTCGTTGAAGGACAATATACAGTGCAATTGGCCTCATCCAATTGATCATATTCTATTGCGCTTCCTCATGCGCGTGTGAAAAACTACCTCATATTTGATCGACACACTTAATCTTATTGTAACTCATTGTAATCTCACTTTTAATCTCATTGTAATCTCATTGTAACGCGAGTAGCTTCTGTGATTCCGCGAGGTCAAGGTAACCACACAGCATTTTAACCTATTTTTCATCACAATGACAAATTCACACTCGAAAACAACACTACAAATTCGCTCTTATTCATGAGCTAAACATGAAAAGATGGCGTAACAACAACTTTGGTAATTTTTAACTTTTATTTCTGCCTCGTGCAATTGACTTGTCAATCATGTGTTTAACAGCACAGCGAGGCCAGAAGTGGACGGATAGCATCAATACTATAGGAACTAACTCGTTAGAAACTTACCGAGCTTCCTACACAGTGACACGTTCATGATAGCTGCAGACTCCTGCAACTGCAGACTCCTGCAACTGCAGACTCCTGCAACTGCAGACTCCTGCAACTGCAGACTCCTGCAACTGCAGACTCCTGCAACTGCAGACTCATGCAACTGCAGACTCCTGCAACTGCAGACTCATGCAACTGCAGACTCATGCAACTGTAGACTCATGCAACTGTAGACTCCTGCAACTGCAGACTCCTGCAACTGCAGACTCATGCAACTGCAGACTCATGCAACTGCAGACTCATGCAACTGCAGACTCCTGCAACTGTAGACTCCTGCAACTGCAGACTCCTGCAACTGCAGACTCCTGCAACTGCAGACTCCTGCAACTGCAGACTCCTGCAATTGCAGACTCACTGCTTTACTCATAATTTCATGATTCTTCCGATTATTACTGTTTTACTAACCTTAATACAACATCAATGTTTATATATATGACTTTATACTGCACATTTCCCGCGTCATTACCTCACAGCTGCCGCACTTGAGATACTAGGATTCTGGCGTTGAAATAGCATTCATTAAACGTTGTTACAACGAAATAAACTCGTAATCAGCGCTGTTTCGACGACATTTACTTGGAGCACTTGTACAACTTCTGCACTAACTAACGACTTCTTTGTTCGAGATACACAGATACTGCACTACACTACTGCTTCACAGCTGCTACACTTATGCTACAGAGCTACTGTAGTTGTAATTCACATCTGCTGCACAAGTAATTAATTGCATGTTTATGATACAACCAGGCATTAGATGGGCCCGAAACCCTGCGGTTGAGGCAAGAAAAAGGACAAGATCGTACAAAAGGAGGATATGTATGAATTACTGCTGAATTCGATAGCTCTTTGAACATGGTTAACGAAAAAGTCTACCACACGCCATTGTCAAAAGTGTGCTTCTGTAGTTCGTGTTTGGCGGCTTAAGCTTGTGGTGTTGATCCCCGCACATGAGTTTTTCTCAGCAATTTGTCAAAATTTTTAACTTTATTGTCGCAGAAAACGAGAAATTTTGAGTTTCCAGATAAAAATGACCACATTAAAATCTAGACTGTACGGATGAGACCTAAAATATACAAAACGGCCTTGTTTATATAGGCAGCAACTCGTATGAAAACGGTCCAACTCCGCAAATTTGGTCAAAAAAGCCTTTCTGTAAATTTTTGGCCTTCGTTGAGACTAGGCGGTTGGTTCATGCTAGGTTTTGAACGATCAGACCTTGAAACTGCGACGGCAGCGCCGTATGACGGTTAGCACAACAGTAGGTCACGGTGAAGTGCACTCTAATTGACATATCTGCTTGCCTGCGTGAGAATATGCACATTGGTGGCATACGGGGTAACATGTTCTCCAAACAAACATAGAACACAATATTACAACTATACTAGGAAAGGTCGAGATTTGATTGATTTTCGTACACCAATGTTGGGAATTCATTGTGAGAACAAAATTCGACTTAATAGAATTATAAGCTTTAAAATGTCGTGTATTCAACTCGTTATGAATTGCATTCCTTAAATACGTAATATACCTTGAATACGGCCCGCTCATCTTAAGAAGTCCGAGTGTGTAATTATACCTTGACGAATTAGCTCCCAACATGTCATCTCCCCTACAACTTCCCAGTTCCTCTCACAAAACTCGGTCGGAGCGTCTACTTAACTTCCGTGTACTGTTTCAAAATGAAAACTTGGCTTGAGGACTTCCATCTGATGTCAATATGGTCCTAAATGCTATCTTTTCATTTCTAGTTTTTGACTCTTATATGCCCTGAATAATGGATCTTTGCTGATCTTTCCTGGCGCCAGTATGGCTTAAAATGTCAACCCCAACTCTCTATCTCTGGGCCAACATCATCTGCTTTGCCTATTCAACCCTTTATCTCCAGCGTCAATTTAGTCTAATATTTCAACCCCTAATCCTTATCTCTGAGAAATAATGTGGTCTTATACATTGAAAACGTACGACCTTTCAGTTCTGATGGAGTCTGAAATGTCGCTCGTTCCTCCAGATAATCAGGTGTTCGGGAAGACAGGACAGTGACAACGGGACACACTGGAAGAGTTTATGAAACTATTATGAATGAAGAAACATGAATGGATATAGATTTGTATGGCTTGCATAAAAAAAGCAGGATTAAAGATAGCCGACGGTTGCTTGAACTTTCAGTGTCTATTTACATAAGATATTGTGGGAAAATTAGGTTGGATGCCAATTAATTAAGATTTTAAATGTATAGCGGATCGGTTAGTTTCGAAACCGCTACAATTCAAGAACTTAGAACGGGGATTATAATACGAATTTGCCGAGGATAGTGTTTTAAGTGTATTTTGTGAAGTATGAAAGTTGCACCTGTAGAATGAACAAACGGCTATAATACTAATGGCATAATACAAATCGAGATGAATAAATGAAGTACATTATATACGTAAATATTACAAATTAGATCAATATAACAGGAGCTATTTATTGTCTTACCCCAAACATTGGCGGATCAGGCTGTTATGATCCTATGGATAACTGAATCTACGAAGAATCAAAATGTCAATCTTTAAGTAGCTCGGATGGTTTGCGAAAAAAACAAATATTCTAGAAAATTAATAAAACTGATAACAGATAAATAGTGTCCCTACAAATGAAAGGAAGTGAAACGTCCTTCGCTCGTATCCTGCTGATGGACAGAAAGCTTCCAAAATCTCGCCTTAGCAGCATTTCGTTTTTTTCCTATTAATATAAATTATTTAATAACATTTCACAAATTGTCACTTCATGTCAGGCGTGGTTTTTAACCGCGATCAAATTTATCCAGAATTTTAATGTATGTGTAGATTTCATGTGAGTGGGTATTTATGATGCTCCGTTAGTCTAATTAAATATTTTATCCCTGACTTTGAAGTTCTCTATGATTAGCATGAATCACATTAAAATATAATAGCCATACTAGTTTCATTTTCACGTACGACGGAAGTTCATTTAGCGCATTGAGGTATAATAAATAAACATGGTTTACTTTTATTTTCAGAGCTATGCTTCAGGATGAAAAAATGCAAGATGGTAACATGGTTCAAATTCACTCTCCTGGCAGTGGTCACAATGTAACAAATAACGATGAAGAAATAATCCAATTGGAGAGTATAGAGAATTCTACGCAAAATTCAACGCCTGCCAATAATGACCTGCAAATCCCAAAAGTGACTGATGTCAAAGCACCAAATGATCGCTTATCTAAAAGCACATCGTCTGTGTGCGAAACAACTTCTGAAAGTTCGCTGCCAGATGCTGCCTCATTGAAGCAACCAAAATATGCCGATAAAAAGAATACCGAAACGGTGTCGGTCAATTCGGCTAAGATTCCGAAAGAAATCACAGCTGTGTCAGAGGGAGAAACGTCAGGCCAGATGGCCGCCATGTTCATGTTGGGCACCGCCTACGCTGCCAACCTCGGCGGCACAGCCTTCCCAACGGGCACAGGCCCCAATCTTATCCTGTGGGGCTTCTTGGAGAGGTAAACAATAAAAATATCTTATAGTTATGGCGGTAATTTGATTTGATGAATAATGTCAAACAATAACTAATGTTCTTTCTCACCATGCTGATCTGAAATATAGTTTTCCAATTTTGATCAATAAGCATTGTACAAGGAATCTGTATTTAAATTATAATTCACGGATAAAACTAAATTAATTCACTTTGAGAAATGTGACTCACTTTATATTTCCCCCATAAAAACAAAATTTAGTTTTAATTATATTTTGAATCGTGAGACAAAATGGGTTCTATGCCTCAGCTGCATGTCGGTTACCTTACTTAAGAAGGGAAACTATTATCGTTCCAAGGAAGAAGATTTAATTCCCTGTAAATCTCCAGGGAATATATATACCGAGCAACACCTGCTCACCCCGTTGTTAAATTGTTATTAGCAGTAATTGCTAGCAGGATTTACAGGACAAAATATCTACGTTCAACGTCAACAAAACTCAAAAGCCTAATCGTCTTGAAGTTCTTTATACCATGCATCACAATCATCACATCGTTCTTTTCAAACAAGAAATTATTGTTTTTCTTTCCATTTTACATGACAGTTCATTCACCGAGCCCACTTCTATCAACTTTGGCTCGTGGATGGCTTTCAACATGCCGGTGATGCTGGTGTGCGAGGTGCTTGCATTCCTCACACTGGACGCCATGTTCGTTGGATGGGGGTGAGGTAGAACTACGCCATGGAACTATGCAGTATCTAAGAATCCACCGTACCTACTTCCGAAATTTGTTTGAGGTTTACTCATTTACTTTGTAGTCCAGGCTTGCGAGTTTACTATTGTAATGCAAATATTTAGGCTGTTAGACATTTCCTAAATAATGGCCATATAAGTTTGAAGAATAAGTCTGTGTACGGAGTGCCAAATACTCGGTTTTGAAACGTGTATCGTAAAAGGAGTTTGCGCAATAATCATTCAATTCGTGAACCTGTTTCGATTAACCGTACACAAATCAATTTAGCGTTTTAGTACGGTTCACTCTCAGGAGATGGCGCAAGATGCCTCCTTCTAGTGTCGAAAAGGAGCTCTCGATTAAAAAAGTGGTGCTCCGAACATACAACTCCTTAGGACCCATTAGCTTCCACGAGGTTATGGTCTTCACCCTCTTCTTGGCTCTGGTCTTCCTCTGGGTCTTTCGAAGCCCTGGCTTCACTGCAGGCTGGGCAGATGCCATGAAAAATGAAGCGTGAGTGTTAATAGAATTGAAGTAGTAATATTGATTATGAAAATAAATATGATTAACTGCTTTATTTGCATATTGACTTATAGCCCAGCAGCGTCTTGATTTTAATTTTGGCAATTACATTCGGCCCGTTCTGACGTATTGTAACTTTAAATAGCTTAGGCATTTCAGCATAATTCTTACTCGAACATAACTTCAATTCATATTAGGCATTATTCATTTCTCAGAAACATCGGCAACGCTACTCCTGCCATCCTTATCGTCTTCCTGATGTTTATTATTCCCGCAAAGCCTAAAATTTGGCCATTTTATGACGGTATGTAAATCGCTTTAATTGCTGGCGGTATTAAGGCACTTAAAAATTTATTGACTAGTTTACCATAGATGCAGGATTTTTGTCTCACTTGTGTTGAGAAGGTCCATCAACAATCGACTTGGCGTAAAATTACTTGACGCATTATTCTTGAGCTGTCAATGAAGCTATGTAGTTAACTTTATGCGAATATACTCATGATACACGTTTCCATCACCAAAATATCCGCAACTTATTCTTATTCACTCGTAAGTTCACGTGATTTCCTCCACAACTGTCGAATTTTCGTTGACTAACGATTTTATCCTTCTATTGACATTGATCTCCCACCCTTGATTTCCAGCAACCATTCTCATCTCATGAAGCTTTCATCACTCAATTTCTAATTTAATTGCAGCTACGAATGAGGAAAAGAATGGAAAAGTTCAGGAACCTGAAGCCTGCCTGACTTGGGAAGCAGTGGAGACTCACGTTCCATGGGGATTAATAATATTGATGGGGGGTGGATTTGCTATGGCCGAAGGAGCAGCCAAGTCTGGGCTATCTGTTTGGATAGGACATCAACTGCAGTATTTTGCTGTGCTACCTCACTCCGTTATCGTCGTTCTCATCGTCACTTTTGCGGCCTTCCTGACGGAGGTGGTATCGAATATGACCACCGCGAATATTTTCTTACCTGTTGTTCGAGACCTGGTGAGCTCAACCATAAGGCCATTCCTACATTTCTAACGTGCTAGTTTAAATAATACTTTAACGCAATATTCTCCTCTTGTTGGTTGTTGCAGCCATAGTGACTTTAAACTCGCTACAGTTCAGTAATCTTCCCTTAGTCAGTTCAACGGACAATCCAATTTAGGCTATACCTACACTTTAGGCTATACCTATACCTACAGTTGCTGGTTTCATTAGGTAAAGGTTAATTTAAATTAATGAACCCGGTGCAATGCAATTATAGTGCGGTCTATTTATGGAAATTTGCATTACTGGTCTTAAGAAGAATCTCGTGAAAAGTGCCAATAGAAGCCGATTTTGCAGGCTCTGGGTATCGGGATGAACCCAATATTCCTGATGTTGCCCGTGACGATCTGTTGTTCATACGCCCTCATGATGCCGGTGTCCAACCCACCCAACGCCATAGCTTTCAATGCCTGCGACTCTATGACCACCAAGGACATGGTAAGTAGAAATTTGCGACGGGAAACATAGAGACAAAACTACAGTGACGTTATCAAGGACAAATCAGCGGGAAATCAACCAGCAATAAATGTACCATCAGCAATACAATATAAAAAAAATGTAACTCAGTACTTACTGCAGTTAGTGACAGACAGCGCATTTTCTCGTCGACGAAAACTTGAGGTCACGGACGGACGGACAGACAGACGGACATGGTGAGCACAATAGTGCATTTTTTCCACAAATGAGAAAATGCGCTAAAAATGTATGGAAGTTTCTGAATGATGATTTTGTCAGAATTCTTATCGACGAGTTGGGGAACGAGGTTACTAATAGAGGGCAATAAAGCTTCTTTGATTCATGAATACAATGGGCGTTTGAAGCGGTCCTAAAGATCTATTAACTACAGTTCCAGTCAGTGGAAAAAAAGAGATAAAGTATCAACTTTATTTACAGATGAAAGCTGGACTCATCGTGAAGTTATTGTGTTTGACGGTCCTACTTGTGGCCCTGGTCACTCTGGGCGACGTGTTGTTTGACCTTCATCAGATGCCAAGTTGGGCCTTAGCAACCACTACCAAATGAGGATTGATTTTCCCCGTAACTTTCTTCAAGCCATTGACAAGAAATGGATTGATACTTAACGATGGGCGGATGAGTTTGGTTAATTAGTTCAGAACTCTAGTTCAGAGTGCCTACTCATACGATTCCAATTTGTTCACGATTAAATATGTGACGTTAAGATCATTATTTATCCTAAATTAACAGTTCCTCATACATAATTAACAGTTCCTCATACATCTAACGAATTGCATGGCTCCATCTGAGCAAAAGCGTTACAAAAATGGTAGGAAGTGGAAGAATAAAATGTTCAATTTTACCGAACGAAAACGGGGAATTCAGGATTATATGGAAGTGGAAGTGCTCATAATTTACATGATAATAATTATAAGATTCTGAACATTATACGATTATGATAATAATAACAATGATAGAAAACGTTATAAGACGCGTTATAATAAATGGAATTAGTCCTCCAAGATTCATACCGAGTGTTATTTTTCATCGATGAAATAAACCAATCCTTCTTCTTGTGTTCCCAGGCTCACTGTGACTTGGGTTCCTCATTCCACGAGCTCAATTTCTCAGCCAGCTCAGGTTGGGCAATCAGAATCTGCAAATAAATGTCAAATGAAAGCCTCGCTTACTACAATAATTTGTGAATTCATAATGGAACCTCTCCATCCTAAAACTTAGCCTAACTAACCTTTTCGCTACTGGATATATGGGCATGGTGCTTACTTTTTTCTTCTGCTCGTCCTGTGAGAGGAACGCCAGTATTTCGTGCTTGAGCTGCGCGGCCTGATCTTCCAGGCTGGACTGAGCGTCTAGCAGACGCGCAGGCAACCACGTGTTAGGAAGGCAGCCTGGCAGGCGACCGCCAGATCCGCCCAGGCACTCCTCCAGCAGCCCACACTTGCTCCATCTGCACAACGACAACATGATAAGCCTCGTATCATCAGGGTAATGCAGAAGGTTTTTGAGCATTCTTCTTGCAGTTTTAACCTTATTTTATAACTGAGTTAAATGGGAATCATAGAACTTTTGTTCCACATCAACCCCCCCCCAAAAAATATTTGTCTTCACGAGCTCAAGATTTCTGAAAAATTCTTATCTGCGTATAAATTGGAATATTACTCAAGCAGATAGATATTATGCATTGTCTCACAGTTTTTTGATAGCGTGAGCGTGACGGTAGCTACCGAGCGCCTGCTTGCCCTTCTCCAGCGTGTCCAGCAGCTGATCCAGCGCTTCGCAGGCAACTGCCACCTGCAGGCATGTGGACCAGTCACTGAAAACTTGTACTTCCGCATCAATTGCACTAAATTCTTTATAATATCTTCAGGAACAGAAAAGATAAATGGAAGAATATTACAACGTTTAAGTAATGAAACTTTGAGTACAAACGACAGTATGTAATTTAAACACAGGAAGCTAAAGAAAATTTTGAGTTGCTCAACATAAAAGATCTCAGTATAACATTTTGCAAGGTAGCTGAATTTATTATTATGGACAAAAGAAATGCACGAAGCTGACAGCAAGAGTACCAGTTAGTGCATTTCTATGCTTAATAACGCCTAGCAAACGTATACTAATTATGCTATAACTATTTAAAGTTGAAAGTATACTATTTATCGACACTAAAGATTTTATAACATCGAAATCTTTAATTTTATATTACTATGAAATAGTTGAAAATGCTTTAGGAACGAAATGTGAAGACTTTTTATAATTTTGAAACCCTAGTTTATAGAACGATGTCAAAGCAAAACAATGTATCATAGCCTTCGAGTAAGCACTGCGGCTAAAGCAAACCTTAGAATTGTGTTTAATGCGATGATCGTCGCTAAGCGTCACCGGCAACCCCATTAATGTTTGAGACATCGTCGCGAAGAGGTCGTCTTCTGTGCCATCATTATTTACTTCTTCGTTACTTGTGCTGCTGTCTTCCGAGACTGAGAGGAGGTCACCCAATGTGGCTAGGGGCGCCGGCAGGCCACCCAACGTGCGATCTACTTCAGCGCGCAACGTGAGCTCCTTCATTTGGGTCTACATGCGAAAAATCAAGGAATGTAAACAACTGATAAATGAGCATAAAATACGACATTGACTTGCATGAACCTAAACCTTGAAAACGTTTAAAAAAATTATGGTCAGTTTTTATGCATCAACAAAACTAGCAACGGAGATGCAGTAACTACCAAAATATCAATGAACGTTAAGTGTACAGTAACTGACTGCTCGCTGCAAGGCTCTGTGGTGCTGTAGTGTCAACAGTGATGTGGCTTCTCTCAGAAGCTGTAGAGTTTCTTCTACAGACATCACCTCGCATTGGATCATGATGGATAAGTAGTCGTGTCGCGCCTGTTGCTCTACGAAAAGCGATGTCAGCTGCTCACGTGAGAATTTTATTTATTTATTCACACAGGAGCACACGTTACAATGAAATATAAAAGAGACGTGAAATAAAATCCAGGTGAATCCCCGTATAAGCTAAAAAAGCTGTGCAGGCAACACAATAGGTACTGTGAGATTTGATTTCGATGTTGTTAGAGTTTGTAGTGTCTAATTTATGTTTAATATTTTGATAGCCCAATATTTATTTGTAAGCTCTAGTTTTTTCGAGTGCAGCGCGTTTCGTAGACAGTATACCTGCCGTGGCTCTTATTTCCAATCGAAATCGATTTTCACAATGGCAAAATTTCGACGTTGCAAGTGACATTAATAAACTCGATGGTCAACTTTTGGGAGGCTTGAAGTTTTGAGTAAAATAAAGTAAATAATTAGTGTAAATCAGTTTTGTATCATTGACGACTGACTAATTATTATAACAAGATCTTTTGGAGTCAGATCACAGCAGAAGAGTTTAACTCGTTGTGAACACCGGAATTGCGAACTGAGGTCGGGTAGATCCTGCATAGCAATTCAAGATTCAACAGGTACAAAATTCCATTCCAATGATAACGACGACAATGAGAACACATAAGTACTAAATTTCTAAAATAATCAAAACCATTGACAAAAGCCTTAAAAACTGATATAATTATGCTAATAGCGTGAAACAAATGTAGTCTATCAAAACGTGCATAGAGACAGGATGTATTCTGTAAGATACATTTCTATCCTCTACGAAGCTGCAAAATAATTCGCTGGCAATTTGACCCAATTTGAGATCATAAATAAGTAGCAATAATTGCAAAGGCTAGAAAAGCAGGATATCAGCCGTCAGCAACAAAAACGTACGATATTCAGCTAACTGGAACGTACAAAAGAATGCAATTAGAAGCTTGAAAACATTTTTGTGCAAACATTCTACCAGTATGGCGGTGAATCATTGAATTTGTTGTTTGTCGCACTGCTTAATTTGCCTACATATTATCTATAGAGTTATAAGTGCTAAGACCTGTCGCAGCTGGTCGCTGCAGTAAAGCTGCCTGACGTGGCGAGCAGCGGTGTCAGTAGTGAGAGTGGCGGTCTTGTGGCGCTCAGCACACGTCTTCACCAGCGTCTCCACCGTCAACTTCTGCTGCTCCACCTCCTCGCGCACCGACCTCAGCGTCCCTAGGGCTGTCCTCGCCTCTTCACTGGAACCCCATCATTATTATATGCAGACATCGATATGCTTCTAGGATCACAACGCAAATCTTGAGTACAGATCAGTGAGATCACCAAGAATTTAAAAGCAGAGAATATGTCAAATAAGTTGACCATATTTTCAATGACAACGTTTTGGAGACCAACTCCATAGTCAGTTCGAAAAGTATCATCTTTTCAGCTCTGATTGTACTTATATTCAAATATTCTGAACTAACTGTTAGAAATATATATCCTCTTATATAAAACAGTTGCACAATTACCTATATGTTGACTGGATATTTTATGAACTGACTTGAGACTGAGTTCCCCACACGAGCTGTACTGGCCCCTCGTGACGAGCTCGAGGGCTCGGCCGACCTCCTGAAGTTCAGCTTTTTTGCGTGCTACCTCCACCTCCGCTGTCGCGCAGTTAATGCTGCACTTCAGTATACTGTGCGGGAAAATTATATGAGTTTTACACGTGATAGTCGGACTTGTGCTGTTGATACAAGGCTACTTACTGAATTTTTAATGAGAGAATCACATTAAGTGATAAAATTGTATGTTGAACATGACACACTTGGGTTAAAAGAATTATTTTACCTCTAAACTACTTCATATAAATCAATGGTAACACAAAAAATAATGACTAATCAACACATGACGCAAACCAACAAACAATAGCAAAAATCCATTCTTGCAAATCGTTTTTGAAAAAGGAGAAAATCTTTGAAAAAACGACGCACAGTTCATGTAGTCTTTTGAGCTCGGCTTCGTGGTCCTGGTGCATGCTGCTTGCTTGCAAGGCAGGAGGCCAGGTTACAGTAAGATCTTGCTGCTGCTCAGACTCGCCGAGATTGAACCCAGCCGTTTCTTCCTGTAGAAAGACAACCATTTTGATACCGGCTCAATATTTTTTAATACAGCAATTGAACTGAGAGGGTTTGCAAAATGCACATTCAGTCTGTGAGTACAATCCTCCACAAATTGCTTCAGCTTCCATGGATAAAAATTAATACAAAAATCTAGAAATCTCAAAGTTGAGTTATTGTGACAGCAGGCTGGTGAATTGCGCTCATCCAATAAAAATGCGCTCATCTGATTTCTGGAACTCACCACAGAGAAAAGTTTTGAGGAGAGTTGCTCAAGAGCCCTGGAGCAATTACGCTCCTCACGCTCCCAGCTTGACAAGTCACTGCACACCAGCAGCTTCTCGTCATCACCACTCTGAAGAAATATATACATACATACCTTAAACTCTTACAAATTTCATGGTACAAAAAAAAAACCTGGTACTATAGTCACATAATAGATGATTGTTAAATGAAAAAAATTTACATACTTTTTTTAACCATTTACTCATGTGCAATTTTACAGTGCACCAATAAATTCCACTTGAACATAACAAAATAAACTTTAATAAAATTAATATGCAGCTAACCTTCATAACAAATTTTGATAAAACTTCTGTGAGTTCCACAACAGTGGCTGAAAGTTTGGTCAGATTCTGAGTGAGCTCTCCTGCTGCTGACAAGGCAGCAGCCTGTTGCCTGGCAAGACACCGCTCCTCTGAAGCAAGAGCAGTTTGTAGCTCTTCAAGTTCTGATCCAGCACTCAGATCCTGCAAGCTAAAAACATAATGATGATAAATTAATTAAATTGATATAAGAGATAAGAAGCTCTTTGAAACATAATATGGTTATAAGATAGTGAATGTAACTTACTTTACAACAATATATTTTTTCTTGAGGAATTGCTATCATATAGTTTAGCAACTACTACATGATAGCACTATGAGGTTTTCCCAACATTTAATACCAAAATATAAGCTGAGGCAAAACTATTTGGCTGTGACTGACTCTGAAGAACTTGAATAATTTGAACATGGACAGTGCTGACAAGATGGACTTCTGAAGAATCACGAATCTTGTCTAACATAAATTATTTATCCACTACAAGGAGCAGGAGGTCTCATATTACCAAGAACAGAGACCCATACTGTAAAGACAGAGCAGAATTAGCACCTCGCAAAGCAACATAAGTACCTTAATAAGACAAAACTGAATAAACTTCAATAAGAAAAAAATGCAGTATAAGCTCTTCAATATGACAAAAGAGAACCATAAGCATCGTGATAAGACAACTGATGAGTGCTAGCACCTCATTTAGACAGAAGAACAGCAATAAAAGAACAACTGAATTGGTACTACTTGGTTGGATAGCAAAAGAAAAAACACTAGAACTTTTCTTATGCACATCAGCCATCCTAGACAAAGAAGTAGAGATCTTAAATACAAGATATCCTGCATATGAAATAATGTAGCATATATCAGAGGCATGCATCCTAATACCACACACTCTGTAGTAAGAGTCTAGGAACATTACCTCCATCTGCTCCAATACCAGCTTCAGTGAATTTGCATCAGATGGGTTGAATTCTATACATACAATAGAAATTTTCTAAATTCGTTTAGTAGCTTTGATAATTTAATAAATCTCTTTAATGTTCCATAATAAATAATTAAATAAATAATGATGTTATAGTACACTATCAGGGGTCTCCAAACTTTTATCGCCAAGGGCCAAGAGCAAGCTTTTCGAAACCTTTGTGAGTTGGGCATGGCCATATGCTGTTTTAAGTTAGTGCATAACAAGAAATAAATGCCACGGTCAATTTTTGTAGGTACACGTTATGTTGAATTAAGGGATATCCTTGAATGGCCCAATAGAACCTAGCCATGGCTGGATCCGGCCCACGGGCCATAGTTTGGGGACCCCTATTATATATAATATTCATATTTTCATGGAATGAAGATTCACATTTTTCTAAATGTCTTGTCAATCAATTCAAACATGTACACATATGATGCTTCTACAAAGGTGAGTCATGAATGAAAGATTATATTAAGACATGAATATAAACTGCATAGAAAAATGTGAGAAATATTATTGATTCATTAAATTATTTGTGATGCTGTGTTCAGTAACTAAATTTTAAAATGGTCATTTTAGCATAGATTGTACTAGCTGCAGTATACCTATTTACGTACCTGAGCTGAGCTCTCCTTGCCTCCAAACGTTTGAGGTTATGATCCAGTTTTTTGAGATGGCTCTCAATTCTGATGATGTGATCAGTTTGAATTTCTGGCTCTGTCAGTTCCACATTTAACAGTGGCTCTTGACTTGTAGGCACCAGTGAACTAAAGCCTGATAAACAAACTGCCATAGCATCCAGCTGGGACCCTTCTAAAACTTGGCCAGTTCTTTGCAATTCTTGGTACCTGCATAAGAAGGACTTATTAGAGGATGAAAGTTCCTCTACAAGTTCCTGAGGATGAAAGTTCCTCAGGAACTGGGATGAGGATGAAAATTCCTCAAAAAAAAAAAAAAAACTATTATGGCATCAAAAACTTGTCCAGATATTTATCAAATTATTTTAATCTTATAAAGGTGCAAATAAAATCACTTACTGAAGCAGCTCTTCTTCTGACAGGACATCTGAAGAATTTATGTTGTCACAGAACCAGTTGCAAAAACCTTTCAGGGCTTCATTTTCAGATCCAATAAATAGCCAGTCCAAGTCAGAGCCAACCAGAGACTTAGGCTCACATAAGCCTAGTTCTTCTAATTTGTCTACTAGCTTTGATCCTAACATTTTGTATTTATTCCAAGAACATTGGAATAATCTTATCAGTTACATCAGGTGGTAACAAGGAAAGTAAGCTGCAAGCTTTAAGAAAATCCAAAACACTATCATAGGATACATGTGGAATTTAAAAATTAGGTATTTATAGAGGTTGGCCGGTTGGGTAAGGACTAAAGAAGTCATATTATACTTGCAAAAATAAAACATGCTTTACTTGTTTATGCTGCTTTATGCATTATAATCATAGCTTGATTGATGCTGGTATGGCCAGTGAGTACCTACAAAATAAAAATTTATATCTATTTTATTAAAATTTGAATGGTCAACACAATTTCAACTAGGTACGGTACCTACCCTATTTTAGACTTATGATATTATACAACTAAAAACTCAAAAATGTATTTGTGTATGCTGTATGGAGTAACAAAAATTGTTAACTATCCTTTCATTTGAATTAAAATAAACCGGGAGCTTGATATACGTAGATATTTTTCAAAGTTTGTAGAATTAAGGTTTGCCATTCAAGTTGGCAATGCCAAGCCTCAATTCTACAACTTTCACTTAGTTGGCATTGATCTGTATTGCAAACATAATATAATACGGAAATTTAGGCATCTATCCAGTATACACATTACTCAGGGGCAGCCAAGGCCAAGCTAGCCACTTCCCAGTACCTTGAGACTTGAACTTCTTAAAGTCTAAACCCCAATTCACCAAATATTATACTGTGATTATGGCTTTATGGGATATTACCTTGTGATATACGGTAAATAGTTAAATTCTCAAACAACATCATTGGAAAATGAAGAGGACAGTAGGATTTAATAAAAAAAGTCTTTTATGCTGTTAACATGTTGACTACGATTGCTTCATCTTGTACTATTATTTCATTTTTCGTACTTTTTTTAAGCAGGGTTGCCAGACGGTCAATTTTTCTGGACAAATCTTGTACTATCTCAACTGCAATTTGATCTTGTACAATCTCAATTGCATTGGCAGGCTAAAATTTATGATAGGGGTACTTCCTAATTAAATTTTTAATAGGTACTGCAAAAAAGAAAATAAATGGATTTTTTATAGCGGAACCTACTAATAAATTAGTACGGTATACATTGAATTATCGGCCTTTTTTGACTGTTTTTGTTCTTGGATTTGGCAATTTTAGGCAACCTGAATTATGTACCACTACCTCCTGGAGAAATACATTTTGTGGTACGCATATGTACCAATATGTAGTCAACGTGTTAAATGAAAATTTTGTTTCAGCGGTACACCTGTGAAAGTTTCCTTTGTTTCAAACCTGGACCTGGTCTTTATTGAATCATGGGACATGGATTTCTATTCTCCAGTTTTGAAATTATCAACCAAGAAGGAAATAACAGGATTTACATGAACAATATTATCAAACTGCATGAATTATAAATTCTGCAAAAAAACTACAATAGACCGAAACTACAATAGCAAACAAAGCTTAGGTGGTAATTGGTATCAGGATTCAAGAGATCACAATTATCCCAGCATGAATCATGTCAGCCTGTAACTTGTAAGGCTGTAGTGAAAATCTTGAAAATGTTTTGTTACTGGTTACTTACTTTTTGTCATGAATTTAAAAATAAGGCATGTTCAGCATTCAGGACAATTGTAAATGTACCTAGTTAGTAGTTAGTAAGCCTGCACATATGTCTGGTCTGGTGACAAATAAAACTGACAATATTAAAACAAAATAGAATTTCATAATTCAGAAAAATATCAACAATGTTTGTCAAATAATAATCTAGACTTTCCACAAATGCAGCACTAACATGAGATGCAGATCATGGCAGATTCATTTGCTTGGCATTTCCTGGTTCAACTTAAAAGCACATAATAATAACGTTAATAATAGCAGTTTCAGCGTTTATTAGGCCATAGGCCTGCCGCCGATTCTTAACATTGCAGAACATTCACAGCTTGTTACGGTCTCAAACATGCAATTCACTGCTCCAATTCTGCATTTCTGCTGTGCTTAACTGCCCAGCCTCCTTGCCAATTCTGACCAGAAACTGGCGCACAGAGCTGGGATCAAACCTGCGCCTCTCTGTGCCAATTGTGGTACTCTCACCGCCGGTGAGATTTGATCCTTACTCCAGTTTTACAGTTCAGAGTAGTCACTACTCTGAACTGTAAAACTGGAGTAAGGATCAAATAATAATAAGATTGCTTTATTTTTCTATTTTCATTTTGTACTGAAATGTGAATATACCTAACTTGTGTCTTGTGATGTGTTGCTATTGTAAATGAATCAACATAATGATAAATATGTATACTATTGTTGCATATCAAACAAGATCTGAAAATAGTCATATTAAACTATTAATCATAACTTCATAAGAAATTATTAGAAAATTAGATGATAATGTAGTAGCAACTAGCAAGAGGTAATGGTATTATCACTAATCCTAACAGGCTAACCAGCTAAACCAGCCTCCAGCCTCCAGGCCCAGGGTCTGCAATGTGGCAAGGGCAACTGTGTGACTGTGACAGGGTGAGCGTAAGACTGAGTAAAATCTGAAGTTGGTAAGAAAAATTCCTTTTAAATTTAAAATAACAATAGTCATGTTTTCAGCTGATTAGCATTAGCTTTATGATAATGATATTGATTGATATCATGATATATGTATGTCTTCTGTGTACGGATTTATGTAACATTGGCAATTTGGCAGCAGCAGCCAGCAGGTATTTGGTTTGAGGCTCTGAGTCTGAGCTTAGTCAGCTACTGCTCTAGACTCTAAGAGTGTTAGCCTGTAAGGTACCTCAGTAGACTGGTAGAGTCTATTGGCCTGGCTCCGAAGTCCGTGGCATGGTGGCGGCCATAGTGGCAAAGCAGAGGGTTTTTTAGACTCTCCCTCAAGTTCATTTTTGAGTCCTATTGATAGACCAGTAAAGTATCCTGGATACCAGCATTATCATACTCAAGAAATTGGTTTAAATCTTTAGTAAATGAGGAAATTAAAAATGAACTGATTCTAAAAAAGCCCTGGTTTGCGATTATGCGGTGGCCGCGCGGCCGGCGGCAGCTTCAATGTCAAGATTTAAGAATGAAAATTCAAAGTATACTCTTTGTTTGAAACACCCTCCTAGCTCCTGAGTCCTGATATCTTAAAAATTTGTGTCTTTTTTTTGTGAAACTTTGTTTTATGAACTTTGAGGCAAAAATAGCAAGACCCAAGTCACCCAACAAGCAAGCCTCTCAAGTCTCAACTCTCATGGACCATCAAGCATCAGGATCCTGATCGAAATGTGTTTGGGCATCAGACTTCGAAATTCGATGAAAAGTTCCATAAGCAATACTGAAACACACTGACCTACACAGTTACACTACAGTCCTACAGGCTACACGCCCATCCTCACACAATGATAGGCTTCTTCTTCTTTTCCGGGTGTCCACGCTGGGTGGACTTAAAGCCACAGGACAACCGCAAGGATGATTGTTGGGCCTGAGAGCTTCTGCAGACAATGATAGCCTTTTTTGATAGGCGATACCGCAGTGGCGCTAATTGACCAACCATTATAACAAAACTTCATTGACGACAATTTTCAAATTTCGCGGGAATGAATCCGAAATTTCATACACAAGGTGAAAAATTCCGTTTTCCATTTTTCACGCCGATCAGAAGAGAGACATCGCTTAAACATCCTTTTAATCTACCGAAATAAGCACAGCAAGCTCCTCGTAAATAATTTATAATTAGGAGTCTCTGAAATGATTAACATAGTACTAAATACAGTATAAATCAATGTTTTATGGTTATATCAGTCTGACTTTAATTTTCACTGTGTAATATGCTGTGTAATAATCAGTCTGACAGAACATTCACAGCATTTTGCGGTCTCGAACTCGCAACTCACTGCCCAGAAACTGGCGCCCCAGAGCTGGGATCGAACCCGCGCCTCCCTACGCCAATCTTGCTATTTGCAGTATTTTGTGAACTTTAACCACTGGGCCACCCTGCCCATTAATATCTCCAATATCAGATACTTTAATTTAATTCATGTTTTGTTGAAGGCTCGAGTATTTATTATCAACAAATTTTTAATTTTTCCCTCACTTTGACGATAAAATACTTTTGATATTATTTGAAAATTTGAAATTGGCGTTTCCATGTGACAATCTATCGTAGTTGCACAACGTGGATTTGATTCGGGGCGTGGTGACCATAAACAGGAGTTTCAGTAGTCAGGCCTTTCTATCGGCTAGCTGCCACGCGTAACGTATTCCTTTTGTGAGAAAGAGAAAAGGAAAACGGGGTCAGGTAGAAACGATATTAGAGCAAAAGGCTTGATGGGTAGTAAGTTTAATATGAAAACATAAAAAAAAATCAAGAAGAAACTTGTTTTGTCTAATTTTTTTAACACTGTTTCTCTTTCACCTTTTCACGCATGAAACAAATATCCACTCTTCTTTCATTACACCTGTATGTCCGCGCAATCACTCTCAAAGCCTTCGATCTTATGCGGAACATTAGGACCTCACCTCTACTACCATCATATATGCACTCATACGGGTGCGCAGCCGTAGACCAGCAAATTAACGCTCAAATCAGCCCTGGAGCCAACATCAACCATCTAAATGCTATAGATATTGTCATCCCCACTCATACCTTGGTATCTCTATCGTCTTGTACAATCTCAGGCTGTCATTTCATCCCATCCCTTGCTTCCGTTGTACTCTCAAACCACACAATTTCACTCGCTTTTCAATTTCTTTCTTCCATTCTTTGACATCCTATTCGATCCCTGTTACACTCTGTACTATCATCAACCATTCCAGGGTAAGTCCATGTCTCATGTAACTCACATTTGCGCACTATTGAATGACACTTACGTTTCCATTTACAGGTACATTTTTCCTCAAGTTCCACAGGTACATTTTTCGTGTCCAAGGTTCATCATCCAATCTTTCAAGTCGTACTTTATATCTCAATGCCTGCATTCATTCTTCTCTCGCTAAACGTGCTCCATACCATACCACCTCCTGCGTTTCTTTTGTACTATCAAAATTCATTGTAAAGTTATTTAACGCATTTATATGTGATTTGAATAGAATTTTCTGACTTCAATTATTGATTAGTATCTTATGTACATGGTTCTCATGTCGATTAAAATCTTATTTTTAGTAGCATCCCATGTAAGTTATTTTGTGCATTTGTCGATCAAAATCTTACACATTCGAAATGTTGTTCAATAATAATATTATTGGATCAAAATATCAATTGAATTAGAGACCTTTTATC